AAATTTTGTGCTGATACCAGCTTTGCTAGCCATCTGCATCAAAGTAGACAAGTATACTGTCCCTTTTCCTTTTCCTGTTCCTTCTAGGGAGATAATTTCTAAGCTTAATCATCAGTGTCAGGGAAATTTAACTAGAAATCTCGGAATTCTTTCTCCTTTTACACTAACCAGCTTCCTGCTACAATTTTATGAGTCTCCTCCTTCATGGAAAATGTTGCACAGCAAGTTGCAAATTTGGAGCCATGAAATCAGCCTGATACACCGATCACAGAATCAAGACCTACCAGTACAAGGATAATGCTTATGTCCTTGTTTCTCTTTCACTTATTTTGACAAACAAAAAATCCACACAATTTTAGCCACATTTTTGTGCAGTACAACACTTTTAGTAATCATACAGAGAACATACAATGCAAACCTACTATACTCTGTTATGGTTAGAAAAGCTTCTGTACTCCTTTGTGGGGAAACTAAAATAATCCATATGAGAATCAAGGCAAAATGGCTGTGAAACACAAACTTTGTTTTTCCTTACATCCATTTCAAATTTTCTAATTTATCCCACGGGAATTTCTGGCCAATACAGATTATAGTCTTCTCCAACCTTGGTGATTCTGTGATTCCATATGGGAAATATTGTGATATGTGGATGATTGGACTGGATGATCTTGGAAGTCTTTCCCAACATTGATGATTCTATGATTTATGTAAACATAAAATAAGCTAAATTATTATTACATCAAATTAGAAGTTATCTTTGTATGCAACTCAGGATCTCTAGTTATGCAAATTGGGTTACAAAGAACTCTACCATGTTGGGAGGGAGGTGGTGAGGGATGCTGTATTATGTCAGACCAGATGGCAGACTTCAAAATTATCTGTGATGTCTTCATTAAGCATATGCAGGACAGTAACAATGACTGATCATGAACAGGCCTTTTTTTTCTATCATCAGACATCTTGCTAGCTATACAAGCAGGATCAACACTACTACTTCTCCTTTTGATCTAGCACAGCTCACTGCAAAAAGAGAATTTCTGGTAGCAGGGGTACAGAAGGAATGGAGAATCAATTAGTACTGGAAGGTGAAGGGGACAAGTTACTCATGTAGTCATCACTTCCTCTTCCTTATTCTTGCTATTGCTACACTCATTCAGCTCTACATTCAAGTAAACTATCTGATAAGCAGAAATTAACATTTAAAGTGGATGCCATTCATTACAGATTTACAAACATGGAAGATGAAAAACAACCTACCAATTTAAAGAAGAATACAGTTGGAGCATGGATTTGGGAAATAATTTTGTGAAAAACAATTTTCAACTGAGTAAAAACTGCAGGGGACAGAGCATTGAGAACATGGAAGCAACTTTTCTCACTCAGCAATACTGAGCAATAAGAACACAAGTGCAGACAGACAACACTCAGTACCACCAAGGATCTTGAGACTACAGAAGTCTTCGAAGTCATTAACATTCACAGTATCCAAATAGGTAACATTAAGAATCATTAAGAAAGAGAGAAAACAAATAATTACGGCAACAAATAAAACTGATTTTAGACAATTCAGGGAATTTCAGTCAGCTCCCCTGAAAGCGGCACACACAAATTCAGAACATTATGAATAAGGTTAGTCCTGGTGAACAGGATCATTGAGAGTCATTATTTATCATGATGCTTATGTATTTTCCATAACATGAGGTCCATACATGGCAGATTGCTAGGACAAGAAAGAACGCAAGTGCCATTCTGACTGCTCAGTCAAGAAAATATGAAGAATCCATTACCACTAACAGATGTATTTCCTCTAGCTCTTGGCTACACACTCCCCCTTCCCGTGTATCTGCACACATCAGCAATTCTCTCTCATTCCCTACCATTTTTGGTGGCTATGGACCTGCAGATCTTTACAAAATATCTATCACTATTATCAGTCAGAAAGGGTGTCAGACTATCCGTAACTTCAGTGTGCCACTGCATGGATGTTTTTTCACAGCATTTCCCTACATTTCCAGGCCAAGTGGCTCAAACACATTACAGAATCATTTTCTAAGATAAAGCTTTGAAGTTAATAACCACAAAGCTTAATTTTCTTTTTCAGGCAAGCATTTCCTCCTGTCAGAAGTCTTCCATTTTACTTCATGTTATTCCCTTCCTCTAGTGATTGATTCATATAAAACTAAGTTGTGGAAGAAAGGACAATTTTTTTAATTATTTTTATTATTTTTATTTTTATTATCATTTATTTATTTATAAGTCCTTACACTGCCTGGAGAGGACAGAGTGGATCAGTCAAAAGGGCAGAGCTGCCAAGTCACTGTCCTCTTTGATAAGAACTATAGCAGCAAAGAAAAATTGTAAAGGTCAGCTCAAGACCAGAAAGGCCACAAGGAAGACAGGCAAAAAGAAAAGAGCAAACTTAAAAGTATTAGGTAGGAGTAACAAATTAAAAATGCATCTGCTAAAGCCATGAAGTAATAGCTTCTCCCAGTTTCTCTTCTATAATAATAATAATAATAATTAAAAGACATGTGATTTTGGTGTTTTGCAGATTTTCTTTTCCCCCACATTAGCACCAGGTCCTCTCCCACAGCTACTCCCTCAGGTTGAATTACGTCCTCCATTAGAAACAGTACGACCAAGTCAACTATGTGGGTGAGAGGACAGAATTCAGTCCTACAAGAGAAGGATGTTTCGGTTCACAACCCAGACATGAAGATTAATAGAGCCCTAAGCAATACTTTTCAGCCACTAAATAACGAAAGAAAAAACTCCCTTGTTGATGTCCAGCGATTCTACCAACCCAGTGATTCTACAAACCCAAATCCTTGGGTTTCTGGCCCATGTAAAACATTACTTTCACTAAAAAACCACCACCACTGGATCTGCCAGAACTCCAAACAAATTTCATTTAGCTGTATCACCAGCACTGAGACAAGAAAAACATCCTCATATTGAAATCCCATCAAGTAAGATATTTAATATTGAGTAGTTAAACATAAAATTTCTACAACTTGCTGGAAAATATACTTTCCTCAGGCTACTGAAATTAAGATGACCAGACAGCTCAGACATTGCAGAACAAAGCAACATTGTTGATCACTGGAAAGGTTTTCACTCTCAAGAAGAGAGCAGAATTTAGCTCTCAAATTAACACCACTTTCTGGTTACCTCCCTTGAAGGAGTCATTCTTTGCAGCTTATCTGGGCAAAGAAACAATAGCCACATTCTTCTGAGAAGCAATCACTGAGTTTACAAAGACAGCTCTCAAATGCCTCAAAAGCTTGGGGGGAACGGGGTGGGGAGAGGGGGGAGGAAGTGTTGAGCCTCGAAGTCAATGACTAAGAGAGCTCAGAAAGCAACTGAGAAAGTAACTGCAACACTTGAAGCAATATGGATTAGCTTCCTATGAAGACAAAGCAACTTCTTGAACAGTGCCTATTGATTAAACAATATCCAGTCACACAAGCGGAGCAGGTGGTTTGTTGATCACTCATACCATGCAAAAGAAAAATGGGAGACTGGCAGGGTGATCTTACTGATGCCTCAGCATATCACTTCTTAAAAAAGAGAGGCTGATATCTAGACTGATACCTGCAAGAATCAACTACCAAAACCAGCTTAAATTTTCAATAAGTGAAATAAAATAAAGATTTCTTATACCAGGCAACTCACTGAAGAGAGGAACTCAAGAAATAGAATAGTCATTTTAGCTCGAGGAGAGTGCATTATTGTACAAAGTTAATCATTAAAAGAGATATCTGCATGACTGTCAGGGATCCAAAAGTAAAGTCAGTCTTAATATATCACAGAAACAAAATGACTGACAAATGAAAACCAATACAATCAGACTCTCACAGGCTGGGCTCTAACTCTTAAATCTACAGCAGTATTGAAAAGGTTTGCATTTCAACTTTCAAAAGAGAAAAGAACACATTACTATCTACCTCTATTTTGCTACACTCAATACAAATCTACAAATAACAGAAAATACTGATAATCAGCTTTTTCTGTAAGAAGCTGTAACAAATTTCTCACCATTTCAAATACAAATTTAAATTTAAAATTGTGACCTCGATGAGTTATCACAAAACTGATTTGCATCAGATGAAATTTTGGTGCAGATGTATAAAGACGTGGTTTAAGCACAATTCATTAAAATTGTTATTTATTGTTGATTTGAACAAACTTAGCTTGTTCCTCTTATCTTTTTGGTAGAGAGAAAACTGAAAGTGAATTTGTTTTACTACAGCTGTCTTTTGACTACTAAGCCAGGTTTTTGTTTCTCCTTAAATTCAAAGGAACATTTTCCCCATTTCCTCATATAACACACCAGCATTTCTCAAACATTTCTCATTTTTTACTGAGAAAAAAAACCTGCTGTCTGATTATTATTAGACAATACAGAGGAACAAAAATCTCAAATTTGGTACTGCTCTACCATGAACCAACTGGTTATCTGTGCTGGGCATTGTTTGGAAGAGTCCTCCTTGCCATACATATAAGAGGAATATTAAGAAGTGGTGAACTGCTGTTATAACTCCAGACAGACATTCACAGTATGTGACACACACAGGGTAATCTGAGCGTACAGTAACACAAATGTGGTAATGTCCTTCAAGTTTTCATTCCCTTTTTCAAAGCTGTACACTTCTTAGATTTAAATTAAAAGCAGCATATAAGATTTACTTAAAAGAAAAACATTAAATATAAAACATTAGAACACATGAGTGGATATGGAAGATGAAAAGATGAGGAAAGTTCTTGGAAAAACAAGAACTACAACACCTTTTACATTAAGATTCCTTGCAGATAGACAAAAGTAAAAAAATAGCCATAGTGTGTAGCCCATGCAAAAGCAATCCTGATCTGTAATCAGTTTTGTTATATGGAACATGTTTAGCAAGGAGCATCAGCCTAAGAGAAGAAAGGGGGGAAAAAAAGAAGAAAAAAAGCTTGAACAAAAAATACCAAAAGAATTATTAAATTAATGACATTACCTCGGTGATTGGTTGCCCTTGTGATGTCAAGTCCAGTTCCTGAGGTCTTGTCACCTTATCGATATCCAAAGAGTCCATGCTGGAAGCTGCAGAAGTTATGCTGGAACGGGAGGAGTTACTGATTGAGCGCACCTCAGCATCACTCACTGTGCCAGCAGATGCTGTCCTCCTGTGCTGGGCATTAACTACTGGTTTGGCATCTTCTGCTACAGACTGCTGGGCTGCCTCATCCATGCTCAAAGAAGCTTTCTCTAATTGTGCAGTGATGTCATCCAAAGAAACGTTGGCATGTGATGGTTTAGTAACCTTACCAGATGAAGAGGATAATCCTTTCATACTGCCATGCTTAGTAGAAGGACGGCTAGTAGGTGGTTTCTGAACTTTGGATTCTGTGGCAAGGCGTTTCACTGCAGTATTATTTGCTGAATGAGACCCAATGCTGCTGAGTTCCTGCTCTATGGAGCAGAGATCAGCCATGAGGGCATCTAGATCCACAGTCTCCCCCTGATTCAGAGCTTCTGCAATAAAGAAGAGTTTTTAGTGTGAGCAGGGCTGCTATATTTCTCTATGCAACTCTTCGTTTTATGTTATTGAATTTAATAGCTGGAATACAGGGGCTAAGGAAGCTGTATTTTCCCATCTATATTGCAAAACCTGTCCTCACTGATAAACATTAAGTTTATTTGCACTAGTACTCTTGACTGGTCTAAAAGAATATGTGTATATATATCAGAATTGAATAGTGTATTTAACATATATATATATATATTTATTTATTTATTTTTATATATTTTTTTATTATTTATATATTATTTTTATTTATATATGTTAAATACACTTTCTGATATATATACATATATATATATATATATGTATATGTATATATAGGTTAAATACACTTTCTGATAAGAGAAACCTGTGAATTTTTAGTTACATTTGAAAGGTTGAAACTGCTCTGCTGTAACCAGAATCTAAAAATGTATATATCATGCTTCTGCTTTTCAATAAAATGTGTTTTGCTAGGCAAATGTGACATTACTTTAAAAACAAAAATACAACCCACAACACTAAAAAAATACTATACACACACTCAAACCTCTAAATTAAAGGCTTCCTGTATTACAACTTGGGGAAGTTATTTTAAGAGAAAGAAAAGTATGATTTTTGTTTAACATGAAAGCATTCTGTAGCTATGCTCATGCATTCTGTCTCATGAAGCAAGATGCTTTTTCTTCCCACATAACAAATACACATTAATTCTTTTTTTCACAAGACCAGATCCCAGAACAAGTTTTCTTTATAAATACCAGACTACAATTCTTAGATACTAGGTGCTATAAAAGACAAAGCTGGAGAATATTCAAAGTTCTCTGCCATAAGAAAAGCAAGGCTGTTATCAAACACATTCTCACTTCTAGCTAAAGTGTATTTTAACATTCTTTGAAACTATTTCAGAATGCTCTTATTTATGGTTGAAACTTTTTTTTCCCTAAAATAATACTTTAGAAGGTAAATAATTCAACGAACCATTCAAATTATACATGGAGAAACGATATGAGAAGTTGGCAAGGTTGGTCTCTTGATGGAGAGGTGATCTCTTCACTGGTGCCACAGGCTTGTCTGAATCCAAACTCTGAAAAAGACAAGAAAAGGTGGAGAATATAATTTGACAAAGAAATGCTCAAGACTAATGAAAATAAATTTTCTCTACAACTAATTTTTCAGAAGCTCCTGACGTATTAAAAATGTCTTTTTTTTTTCCAGGATTTTGACTAAAAAACATGTCACTATATTACAAAGACTTCACCGCAGAAAACATATTAATCTCTTTCTTGTTACTGATTTAAAAGGGAGCAAATTCCAAATTTCAGCTGTGTTTCAAAATGAGCTAGTATGTAACACAGCTGATTTATCTATAACAATTTCTCTGCAGAGAATTGCACAGGAGTTAAAACACATGCAAACTGTGACACCCTTGCATCCTTCAATTATGAGCATATCCATAGTATAAGCACAGAAAAGCACTCAGTAGAGAATTCCTTTTTTATAAAAGAGATTTTGAATTACTAAATGTAGGTGTTTTTCTCAGAAGTCTTTTCTGTGAAAAATACTGAGTTGTGAAAGTGACCCCCTCCCAAATATGATAGTGTTTTGAAAAAAATATATATGCAAAAACAAACAAAAACCAACCAAACAAACAGAAAACCAACAAAACACCTAGTAAGGGATTATAAAAATAACACAAACCAAAACATGAAATCAAAAGACAATTACTCTTCCTACACAAACCATCCAATTGTTACATTAACGGACATAACACGTTACAGTTAACCACCAGCAGTAAGAAGCAAGCAGTAGGACACTATGATCCAACTGGTAACCCAAAAGTTGCATGGCACCCACAGAGTGAGAAGTGTTATGTGGGGAATCTAGCTCCTACTGTTGCTTGACAGGCCTGCAGAGGGTATGAATAAAAGCAACACTTCTAATAATAAAGCTTTCCCAAACACACATTTGTCTAAAAGAAGAGCATCTTCTAGCACCAAAAGACAAGTTTTTTATCCACACTTTTTTTTTTTTTTTTAATTTTCTGTATCCTTACTCAAGGAAGGCAGTCATCACTTAATGATCAGAAGACAGCGATGCAGAACTATTTTCTATTATGTGGAAAAAACAGCTCTAGTGGAGCTTAGATATCGTTCCATACAGAACAGTTGAAAAATATCAGTTTAGAACCCTACAGGTAGCAAAGAAAACTTGAAACAAAGCAGGCACATTAGGGATCATTCCTTCGAACTGAACCAAGACATTGCCTGCAAAGCAAACATATTCTGGTTAAAAACATCTAAAGTATGTTTTATTAAATTTAAGAATAATTACATTAGTACACAGGGTTGTGAATGCCCCCTTCATGGAAGCATTCAAGGCCAGGCAAGATGGGGCTGTGAGCCACCTGGGCTAGAGGGAGGCATCCCTGCCTATAACAGGGCATTGGAACTAGATGATCTTAAAGGTTCCTTCCAACCCAAACCATTGTATGATTCTATCCTTTGAAATAACTGGGATATACTCTTACTATGTAGGTCACTCCAAATATAATGCCTCCTATTTATTTTCATGGAAGTAAAGAGCACAATAACACTATTTGATCAAGCAAATTCTTGGCTACTGAACACTATTTTTTAACATAGTCACTACAGTTAGCTGTGCAATTTTTTTTCTTATTTTTTTTTTAAACCAGCAACCAACAGAAGCCTGCATGCTGTGCTTGTGAAAATCTCCTTAGCTGTCTGGAACACCACTTGTTTTTCATGTCATTTACATCACTGCTGAAATGCACCACCCACTGCCCCACTGCACACGCATCCAGTGTTTGGTCTCCATAAACATTCAGCAAAAATGGACAATATCAATGGATGCCATTTTTTCCTGCGTGGAAGAGTTCAACAACACACCTTTGTTTCATACATTCTTCTACGTCAGACACCATTTTGTAAGGCTGCCCTCTGCTGCCATCTGCCACACGATAACAAAATGTAACTGAATACTGGTGGGAAGGTTCAACCCCTACCACCATACTGCCAACATCCACCTCTGACATTGTGGACCAACATAATGAAATAGGAGGCATTAATTTCAGAATAGCCCTTGTATTATTGGAGAACAATCTCCATAATTAATAATGCAAAATTTCAGTTTTGGAAGCTGCTGAGAATTGAAACAGCACTAAAAGACTAGTTCTGGAAAATGAAAATACTTATTTCATAGAACAGGGTAACCAGACACCAACTGCTAATGCAGACACTGCTCACATGTGTTGAAAATTTCATGGTTGCATTTTATAATGCTTTTACTAGGCAAAGGGTTAAAAAGGGCAAAGTGAATTCAAATTATCTCAAAGGCATCTTAACAATTCCATATATTTTAAAAAAAGCATTCCTGTCTGGAAAGGAATCTAGATCTTACTTTCAATCTTCCCAAAACAAACACATAGAAGTAGAAAATCTGAAAAAGAAGTTCAAGTTACAAGTTCAAGGAACTTGGGGACAAAATTCTTCTCCCACTGCTTTCAGAGTGCAGCTGATAAATAGCAACAAATGCTAAAACTACACCAGAACGCCCTTTGGAGCTCATTAAATTTAATCACGCCCCTTTACCGGGTCCTCAGCTGAATCAAGACATAACTATTTACCAAACAAGCAATCTGAGACACAACAGACTGCATTAACTTGTTTATACAAAATATTACGAGGTTATTCAAAGTTCTGGGGGAAATGTCACTTCTCAGTAGTTACAAAAGACTGAAGTGCAACTGTATGGCTATATTGCAGACTGTGTTGTATGGCAGTACATAAGTGAGAAACAAACAGCTTGTACCCTACCCTTCACTACTCGTTTGTGTATTTTAAGCATTTTGTATGGATTAGGACACAAATTCAGGTATCAGCAGAAAGTCTGTATATTAAATGTACAGCTGTGAGCACTAAGTAAAATACACGTATTTGGAAGTTACCCATATTCAATAAAGTGAAACCAAGAACAAGTGTCTAAAACCAATTACCAATTGTGCTCCCACATGAAGATCCTCATTAGAGGTAATTTGAAGGCATGGAGTCTATGAAAGGACTCTCACTTACCATTAAAAATCTTTCACAGGGAGTTAAAGACAATAACAATTGTGATATTTAGACTTATTACACATTATCTTCTATTCATTTGAAAAGGTAGGATTCCTTATTGCCCCATTTTACTGAATTTTAACAGGCTGTCTGCATTTAGAACTTGCAGGTAGGTCCTTTAAACCAAAGACAATGTGCATGAGACTGAATTTGAAATGTTCTGTTGTATGACTAACTCCATTTTCTATCACTCTTCTTAAGGTGAAGATTATTCCTTTTCCCCCCAAGCTTACAGTAAAGAAGTTATGAGAGAAGCCTCTTCCCATCTAGCTCACTGAAACTTGGAGCATCACATCATTACTTAAAATCTATGTGACAAAGAATAAGATGAATTATACTGAAAAAAAAGAGAAAAAAGAAAAGAAAAACCACTAAAAAAATGCCAAAAGGTGTCCTGTTGGCTGCCATGCTGATGCTGGAAAAGCACTCTGGAATAATGGTCCTCTAGGGTGTATCAGGTGACCTTAGCACATCATCATTGACATCATTCAACTTTCTTGTTCCTTATTGCTGTTCAGGTGCAACAAATAGCTTCAACTACATTGCCACTAGACAATGCCCAACTGTGTGTTTGGAGATACAGCCAGCTGAAGTCTGTGTTTCTCTATATAGATGAGGACAAAAGATCAATTCCATAGTTTTCCAAATGGATTGTACCCTTCGGGAATCATATAACTATCAGGTTGTGAAAAAAGAATTTAAGAACTTGGAAGTGGGGAAAATAAGTTAATTCAGAACTCTTTTAAGAGCACTGAGTTGGTCATATGCTACAGCCAGTCTTGCTCCAAGTGGTAGTGCTAATTAACTGAGAAGAGAGACATCTTCTGTCCTCGCATAATAAAACAGCTGAGGATACATACTTGACCCTGACAAAGCACCACAGCTAAAAGTGTTAATTCATACTCACCTGAAGTGTTCAAAAAGATCCTTGTTAAGGTTAAAGTAGTTAGCTTTCAACTGAAAATAAACATGTAATAATTATTTATAATTATTCTATGACATGACTGAAACCTCCCCAACCTGAGTGAGTTTGTCCAGTTCTCCTAGCCAGGCCCCAAACATCTTGTCCAAATCCTGATCTTCCTTATCACTGTCTTCTTCTGCACCATGGTCAAGCTCTTCATCTGATAATTGCTCCATCTGAAAAAAAAAAAAAAAAAAAAGTGATACTCGGACTGTATCAGTGTCCAAGAAAGCTAGTGTCAGCTGTTATACTCCCAAAAAAACATTCTGAAGTCAAGGCATGTTTGTCCATAAGCTCTACAAAAATTGCACATTCACACTAGGTCGATGATAGTGCTCACTTTTGAAGAGTAAGCAAGAAAGTTGCAACGGATAACTAGCCATTCTTACATTCCACTTTATGTCAGAATAATGCAAAAAAAAAAAAAAAAAAAAAAAAAAAAAAAAAAAAAAAAAAAAAAAAAAAAAAGAAGAACAAAGTCCAGAATACTTAATACAACAGCAAAAAGTATTTCATGCTAACCTTATAGAATGCCCCCAGGGATAGGACATCCACAACCTTCCTGGACAGCCTGTTCCAGTGTGTCATCACCCTCTGAGTGAAAGACTTCCTCCTAATATCTAACCTAAATCTTCTGTCTCCTGTTAAAAACCATTCCCCCTTGTCCTATCACTATCAATCCATGTAAACAATCGTTCCCTCTCCAGTTTGTATACTCCCTTTAAGTACTGGAAGGCCACAGTGAGGCCTCCCTGGAACCTTCTCTTCTCCAAGAATTCTCTTCAACCTTGCATATGTATTCATTGCCAGCTATTATCAGCAAAGTCTACAAACTTTATATTAAAAAAATTTGACTCTTTTCCAAAGAATTCAGCTGACCTACAGGAAGTGCAGCCTCACTACGCAACAAATAGCTGACTTTACATGTCTGTAAACAGAAATGCTTAAGCAAGCTACAGAGAATATGAGCAATCAAGTTGTTTAAATCTTGGACAGTCTCCAGATCACTTCAGTGATAGTGCACAATTTCCATCTGACCAAGAAACCCCTCACCTATAAATAAAGGGACACCATTACAGCTAGCTGACTCTTCTTTATTTAACAAGACTGAGTGACCAAAGTAGACTTAACATTCTCTAAAGGTTACCTGTTATGAACAGAAAGGAAATTAATTTGTTAAAAAAGCCTCTCTACCCCAAACACATCCTCCAAGCCCCTTCTACGGGGTTAAGATGCATACAAAAGTGTGGTATATCCACACTTTTAAACCCAGGATTTGTTCAGAACAAAAATTTAGAGAGATCTTAACATACTCCGAGAGAAAATGATATAGGTAGCAATTTAGAAGTGATTAGGCACAAAAAAAGAAAAAAAAAGTAAACGCTTGCAATATTATATAGAACATTCAAAGAGATGTGAACAGGCCATCCAAAGAGACACAGAAAAACCCCAACAAACCATAGATTGCAGTGTCTCTTGGTATGGTCAACCCACAGACAGCATGGAAATTTACTACACAGGCTTTCAAATGCACCACTTTAAATTTTGTAAACTTAGAAGCAACGTTTTAAGTGCTAGTCTTCAGGGAGACAAATGATGATCTAAAAGACATCACCGTACTGCACAGTTGAACTGATGACAGAGATTACCAAAGACTACAAGTGTTCTCTGTTCAATCAGCTTTAGACTATTTATGTCAGTAGTTCATGCAAAAAAAGACCTCCATGATTTAAAACAATCTTCTATTCCTGTATTCTTTATATTTCACTTCACCTTAGTAATCAGGCAACAGAAGACCAGAGGCAACCTACTTCTCTGAGGACAGCTGAAGACAGAGCTTTCCGCATGTACAAGATACTGCCATCCACGTGCTCTAGGCAAAGCAGCTTCAAACTCCTACTGAAATTTTACTTTTGTGGGAGAAATGAATGCAGGTGCTTATCTTAAAGGGGCAATAATATAGACAGGCTTGAGCAGCGGACCCAGGAGAATCACAGAGCTGTATGGGTTGGAAGGGCCCTCTAGAGATCATCGAGTCCAACATTAAAAGCCCCTAATTCATGTAACAATTGTGTTTCACAAGGAAGAGAAAAAAATGCTGTCTTCAGCAGCATGACATTTTCCCCTGTGTTAGGGAGTGTTGCAGTTCAAAGCAAAGTACAACTGTCAGTACATCAGACTTGCTTTGCTTAATTTCTCTTCTTCACTCCATGACGCTAGATCAGTTTGTAATTTCACAACACAGAGAAGGTTCTTTCACACAGTCATGCTCTCAACAAAAACAGAAGCACATCTTTCTAGAAGTGCAAGACTTTTCCCAATGCCCATTCACGTACTGTCCTCAGCTTAATTTTAAAAATGCCAAGCAGCCAGACTGTTGGAAAGACTCACTCCGTCCACCAAGCCTTCCCTGTCAGGAAGTATTTTCTAATCATGCTCTTCATTTGCATTTAATCCTCTACATTTTAGCAAGTCACTAAAACATTCTCTTTTCCTCTCAGAATCTTCTAAACATTACTTAACTAAGCTATCCACATTGCAATCTTAAATCTTTTCTTGTAAATCAAGTCCCTTACCCTATCCCAAAAATAAAATTGCAGGTTTCTTCAGATAAGGTGCTCAGATGCAAACATGACACGTCTGGCTGGAAGCTACCATACCCTGTTCTAGAAGTATTGTGCTGTTGGTGCAGCAAGAGAATGCTCCCCTGCTCCCTAGTATCACACCAACCACAGCAAGCAACAGGCTTAGTGAATGAAGCTGCTCTGCATAAGCAGAGACAATTCTCTTCAACTCACAATTAAACAATTCTGCCAAGTACAAAATTTTGCACCTGGGTTGTGGCAATCCCTATTATCAATAAAAGCTGGGGGATGAAAAGATTGTGTACAGTCCTGCCAAAAACCTTGAGGGATTGTAGATTGCAAGCTGGACATGAGCCAGAAACGTGTCCTCACAACCCAGGAAAGCAACTACATCCCAGGCTGTATCAAAAGCATGGCTAATAGGTCAAGGGAGGTGATCCTGCCCCTCTACTCTGCACTGGTAAAGCCTCACCTGGAGTACTGCATCCAGATGTGGAGTCCTCAGTAAAAGAGACATAGACCTGTTAGAGCACATCCAGAGGAGGGCCACAAAAATCATCCCAGGGATGGAACACCTCCCCCCTGCGAGAACAGTCTGAGAGAGCTCTTTAGAGGACAGTCTGAAGGGGCTCTTCAGACTGGAGAAGAAAAGCCTCCAGGGAAACCTGATACACACCTTTCAGTATCTTAAGTGGGAGATGTAAGAAAGAAAGAGACAGATTCTTTAGCATGGTCCATGGTGATCGGACAAGGAGAAATGGCTTCAAACTTAAAGAGAGGAGATTTAGATTGGATATATGAAAAAAAGCGTTCTTTATTTTCCTATGATAGGGGGACTGAAGCACTGGAACAGGCTGCCCAGAGATGTGGTGGGTACCCTATATGTGGAGGTGCTCAAGCTCAGGCTTGATGAAGCTCTGAACAATCTGATCTAACTGCAGATGTCCTTGTTCATTGCAGAGGGGTTGGACTAGATGACCTTTAAAGGTCTGTTCAAACAATTCCATGATTCTATGAATATTTAAGCTAACATGGCATGGCATTCTGCAGTGAAGCTGCAAAACAGATTAAAATCACCTTTTGACTCATTTCTCCCCACACTTATTCTGAAACTGTTCATTATTTCTGGCACTCCAAGAAAGGGAAGAAAATTCTTCTAAAAATCTACTAGTGATGCTGAAATCCAAAAAATATTGATATGCTCATATAATCAGGCAGCATACTTTCACCAAGATCACACCAGTTTCTATGCGTCTTAAGTCAGGCATGTCTACTTCCACCACCACCACCTGACTGCTCAAAGGCTCTGCTCTATACTGTTACCCCAAAACTCTCTCCACATACAGAACTGGAGACAGCGGGGGATACTTACTTTCTACCTAACCTTCTGCAAAACAAACAGAAGCTGGACTTTCACATCCCTTGAAAGCTTTATTAGCCCTTAGGCTTTTATGAGGACCAGAAGTATTGTAGATTCAAGCCAAAACACTTTATACTTAAGGTGATGTGGTAAATAAACTACAGCAACTGTTCTCATTTGAGAATATATCATTTCTCAATGTCTAACTATACGTGATGTTAGGAATTTTTATGTGAAGGTTAAGGGAAGCTATTAAAAATGTGCCTTAGGAAACATGGCTATAAACTGGTGAATCAAACAGATACTGTGATATAAAACAGACAGAGCTCAATATTTACAGACATTTTACAGAGCACAGCTAGCTTTTCCTTCTTCAAGCTGTTTATGATGCTCTACAGTTAGATGGAATTTGTTCTGTAGTGCATTCACTCTATGACACTGTTCATAATTCATCCTTTCAGGATGAGAGGAGTTTGCTGGTTTCTTTCCACAACTCAAATCTTCAGAAATATTTAGTAATAAGAGCACTCTCAATTTCCTATAAGTTGTTGCTTTTGCTATATTAACTTGGCATTAGAGACACTGCTTCAGTTCCAGTTACTCTGAAGACAGAATTAGCAGCCTAAAGAAAACTTTTACAAGCAAAGTACTGTTGTGTCAGCAAGCCTGGCACTAAATCCTGTAGTATTTGCCAGCTCCTTGTAGTCCCCACCCAAGCTTTCTAACGTCAGCTGCATATCCTCTAAGCCTGTCAATGTTTGCTTGCAAAAGGCACACAGAGGACAGTGTCTCACTTAAGAAATGGCAAATATTAACTTGCTAGTCCTCTAAAATGGATCTCTTCACTCAAGCTCCACTAGCAAATTAAACTGATGAATTAAGGCAGAGGAGATAAAACACTGAGCTAAGAGTGTCTGAGCTTTCCAGTAACAAAACTAGAAACAGTAACAACTCAAAAACAGTGCACATCGCAATCAAAATTAAGAAGTTCAAACTTTTCCTTTTTAGACAAAATCTTCACACTGTTGTTGAACACAGCATACGTAGGTCATACTTCAGCAAACTGGCACCTTTCTAAGGCTATGACATTTTCATCTATAACAAGAAAGGACAACAGCAGATGTTTAAATGTTTCTTTTTTCTTTTCTTTTCTTTTTTTTCCCCAAGAAATCATTTGGAACCAAGTTAATCTAAGAAATAGAAAACGGAAGCCAGTTACAATTCTAAAGCA